AGAATATAAGGAAAATACGAAGAAAACACAAGAAACCTGAGGCCGCAGAAGACCACACCAGGCTGTCAGCACTGTTAAGGCTCAAAGGGGGTAGAGGATAACATTATAATCAACCTAGCTTCAATGGCCTCTCCCAAGCGTACAGGATTCTTCTATATGGAAAGTTCCAATCTGTAGAGCTGGTTTTCCTGGCATAGAATGTTAAAGAGAACCATTCTTATCAAAAGACAGGTTGAAGAGAGAGGGAACTCATCCTTGAGATAGTAGATCCACACCACTTGTCATGCCAAAATCTGATACGACTACCATCCCCAACCTTGATTTGGCAGTTTCCCAAGAAGAATTGAGACGTATGTGAACTATGGACTCCTATAAAAGTGATGTCCTTCCACACCCTAGAGTGCTTGTAGGAGATTGCACAGGAGGATGCCAGCACTGAACCTCAATTTTATACTTGCTGCAAATAACTTTTCTCCATAATGCTGAGATTTGATTTCCAAATTTCCACCACCATTTGAGAAGCAAGCATGCATTAACATCCCTAATGCTTCTGATGCCTAAGCCCCCTTGGGCAACATTCTTTGTAACCTCAACCCATTTTACCAAATGAACTTTTCTTTTTAGGCCATCACCACCCACAAGAAATCAGTCTCAATCTTTTCAATTTCACGGGCCACACCTTCAGGCATCTTGAAAAGGAAAGATAGTACACAGGGAGACTCAAGAGGACAGACTTGATCGAGGTTAACCTCCCAGCAAAGGACGGCATTTTTCTCTTCTAGCCCGAAAGTCTAGATATAATATTTATCAAGCACAGGCTTCTAGGTTGATTTTCTACCCGGGTTGGCTCTTAAAAGTAGCCCCAAAAATTTCAGTGGCAAGCTTTGCACCTTACAGTTCAAGAGTCTCGCAATGGCATTTAGAGACACATCATTCACACCTACACCACAATACAACGCTCTTGTGATAATTTATTCTGAGCCCCGAAAGAACTTCAAAGCATCAAAGGAGTCTTTTGACAATCACCATCTAGTCTATATCAGCTCTTCAGAAGAAAATGAGTCATCAGCAAATTGAAGGTGAGATAAAAGAACCTCGTTAACCCCGACTGAGAAACCATGAAGGATGCCAAGATTTAATGCTCTATTCAGAGGAATATTAAGCCCCTCGGCCACAATATTGAAGAGGGAAGGGTGACAATGGGTCACCTTGACGGAGTCCTCTTTACGGAGAGAACTCATTAGTTTGTGAACCATTGACTAAGATGGAAATTCTGGATGTAGATACGCAGGTTTTTTATCCAGAGAATCCATTTAGCCCCAAAACCAAAGCTAGACATCAAAGAGAACAAGAACTCCCAGTTTACTGAATCGAAAGCTTCTCGAAATCTAGCTTGATGATCAACCCCTGTTGTTTAGCCTCCTTCCAACCATTTACGACTTCATTAGCAATAAACACCATCAAGGATATTCCTTCCCCCTATGAAAGCAGTTTAAGTATCGCTAATCATGGAGGGCATCACGGACTTCATTCTGTGCGAGAGAACCTTTGCTAAAATCTTGTCTATAGAACCCACTAGCTAATGGGTCGGTAATCAGACAGATTAATGGGATTAGAAGTCTTGGGGATAAGTGTAATGAAAGAGCTGTTGATTCCCTGGTAAGTCTGTCGTGGTTGTGAAAATCTTGGAAGAATTGCATGATCACTTGTTTCATTATTCTCCAAAACTTCTGATAGCATAGGGAGTTAAACCCATCTGGTCCGGGAGCCTTGTTGCCATATACTCTCTTTAATGGCAGCCCACACCTCTACTTCAGTGAAATCTGATACAAGATGATGGGAGATAGTGTCCTCAATTAATCTGAAATCCCTCCCAACACTGGCCTATTAACCCAACATTCCTTGAAGTGTTCTTGAAATGAAGGAACACCTCGTGTTTAACTCTGCCAGGTTCCTCTAAAGACACACCATTTACTGAGATGGAATTTATCATGTTCCTATTATGTCTGGTACTTGCAACAGCATGAAAGAACCTAGTATTTTTGTCCCCCTGCAGAGACCAATTCATCGATTGTTGATGCCATAACCACTCCACCTTCCTATAGAGTTTCCATACTTCACATCTTACTTCCTTCTTCGAACCATTTCTAACTGAAGCAGTACTCTTCCCTCTGCTATTCTATCAAAAGGCATGCAATTCCTCCTCTGATGCCTTGAGTTTAGTTGGTAATATTACCAAACACTTCAGTAGTCCAACCCTTTAACTCCATTTAAGATGCTTGAATTTTTGCTGGATTATGAAGCCTGCCCAACCAAAAACAGTCGAATTCTCCCAGCAAGAAATGAAAAAATGAGAGAAATTACACATGGGCTCCATCTTACATTATGAAGTGCCTATAAATAGCACTCACCATAAATTTACAAGGAGGATAATTTGGAGAGATTATCTTTAGAGAAACTAATCTTTATTCTCCATTATTTACCTTGAAAGTGAAAAGTAGATCTACGGGAGATCTTATCATTATTCTCTCTCTAACTATTTTGCATTCTTATCTTATCTCCATTATCTCTTTCTTATTGTGTTCCTAGTTGCAACCATTGAAGAATTTAAGTCTCTCTCATCATTTTTAGAGAATTCAAGTTTTTTTAGCGATCTTCAAAGATCTTCGAATTTTTCGGTGAGCCTTGAAGTTTCTAGCGAGTTTTCCGGGGATATTCAAATTTTTCGACGACGTTCTTGGGCCCTCTCTTATTTGGCAAGCAACCTTATAATTAAATATCCAACAAATCAAAAATTGACACTTATTATGCTATATCATTGTAGGTGAAAATTTGACAAGATTTTGTGGGTCTTAAACATTTAAAAAGTCTTGAATCCTAGGACTAGGGTGCAAAATTTACCCATAATAGATATATGTGGGTGAAGATTAAATTGATAAAATGTGAGTCCACAAGTGAAATGAATTTTGAACTATTAATTATTATTTTTAAATAAATTTTGAATAGAAAATTCCAAGGGCAAGTTATTTTCAGAAGTAAAATTGAAGGGATTGTTTGTGAAGAGATTGATTGTGAGGGGATTAATTAAAATTGTGTTTGTTTTGATGATAATCGTTAGTATAGAAATTGTTTTAAATAATTACCTTATGAAAGAAATATAAAATATTAAAAACAATAAAATTATGATTTTTAATTAACAAAAAATACAAAAACATTAAACATTAATGTTCAAAAAAAATGCTCAACATGTTAAAAAAAAAATAAAAAAAATAAAAGAAGCTAGAGAACTAACTTCTAATACCAACTCTCTTACCTCCATCTCAATCCCCTCTCCATAACCAATCATAATCCGGAGGCTCATCTCAATCCTCTCTCTATCTCTCAAAACAAGTACAACATTAATGGATCCCACATCCATCTCAATCTCAATTCCAATCATTTCTTCATCTTTCAAAACAAACGGGGCCTAAATGAGTAATATTAAGGATCATAAGAAAAAAGATCTTGAAATATTTCATAAAAATTCTCTATCCTTAAATTACAAATAAATAAAATAATACACACTAATAAAATAATATAATATTTCTTAAAACATTTTATAATATATATATATATATATTTTTAAAATGATTCTAACATTTTGCAAGTAGACAAATGCTAGATATTTTAAAAATTTATTAAAATTTTTACCAAAATCTCACATGATGTCATGTGAAATATTTAGTAAAAATTTTAATAGAATTTTTAGTTTTATTCTTTTTAGTATTACTGTAAACATTTTCTTTGAAAAACAAACACCCAACCAAAATTTTAAAATTTTAAAATTTTTAATTTTATTAAATTTTTATCAAAATCTCTTATAAATGTGAGATTCACGTGATCTTACGCTCATATGTGACATTTTTAGTAAAATTTTTTAACAATTTTTTATTTCAAAATCCTCCGCCTCTTTTCTCTCTCCTCTGCAAGCACACAGTTCTCTCTTTCTTTCTTTCTTTCTTTCTTTTTTGTTTTTGGTACATCGGAAAGGAAAAGCACACCGTTCAAACAGATTCCCACACCACACCACACCACTCTTTGCCAAACAAATAATTAATTAATTATAATAAAAAAATCTAATCTCAGTTATTGTCTCTGTGTCTCTCATCACTACACTCCACGGTCTACTACGGTCACTGTCACTAATGTCCTAAACTGAAACTCTCTCTCTCTCGTCCCTTTCGAATCTCTCTCTGTCTCTCTCTCTCTCACACACACACACTCTAACCATGTTGCTAATCTTTGTGCAATAAAAATCTTTCTCAGTTCATCTAACAAAATCTCTAATCCAATCCAATCAAAATCATCTTTCTTCGATCGATCAATCAATCGAAAGAGCTGACCTTCACTGTCCTTTTCTCTCGCCATTCACAGCTGTGACTGGTTTCTTTCTTCTCTAGGCTATATAGCTTCTTGTCTTTTGCATTACAAGCTCCTCCCTTTCATGGTCTTTACGATTGCTTCCTTTACATCTTTGATGCCTTTACTGTTCCAAAACCTTTTCTTTATTCTCTTTACTATTCCAACTTTTTCTTCTTCTTTTTCATCTGATTCAAGTTGTTATTTTTAGGGATTTCATAGTTTATGTACTAAACAATTTGCTGTTCTCAAACTAGCTAGTGTCTTTCTTTCTTTAAAACCCTTGTTCATCATCTCACCGGCATTTCAGCGGGAATCGCGGTGTTTCTCCTCTCTGTCCCCCTGCTTTTGTTTCCTCCATGCTATATTATTGTACTCTCAGATCACTTCTCTAAGATTTTCCTCCTTTATTCTATAAGAAGAAGAAAGATCAACTCTGTTCCTTTATTAATTCATTCCCAGATCAGTTTGTTTTTGTGGGTGTTGTTTTTTTCATCACGGGGAGTCAAGAAATGGAATGTGCAACAAAACCACCTTCAAACATATCAGACATTGTCTCCAAATTTGCCAAAGTCTGCAGATTTAGATCCATTGGTGTCTTCTCCACTGAAAATCCCACCCACAACCACCACCAACCCATCAATGATTTTGGCAACAATGTCCCATCACCGGAAGACAGCAGCGATGCCACGGAAGAGGCAGAGTGCGACATGGAGAAAATCCATCCCAACCCAGTTGAGATTCAACCCAAAACCACTGAATGTGCGAACATGGAGATCTTGGAGCTGTTTGACTCCATTTCAGCTCTCAAGTCAGCTTACGTTCGTCTTCAAGAGGCTCATATTCCGTATGACCCAGATAAGATCAAATCTGCCAATGAACTTGTTGTGGCTCATCTTGAATCGATATGCAAGATTAAGCGTGCCTATAAAGAGAAACAGTTCAAGGAAATCAATTCAATTTCAGCTTCTTCTGCTCTGCTACTAGCAGAGATTCATGTCCAGGAGAGCCTGTTGGAGAAATTGAAGTTCCAAGTCAAAATAAAGAACTCTGAAATACTTAATTTGAAGGAAGAGCTTCAGGATTTGGATTTGCAGAACAGAATGCTAGTCCAAGTGTTGAAGAAAGAAAGAGAGGCTATTAAGTTTTTGAATTTGTCTTCATTTGAGGACATCTTCAAAGAGGCTTCAAAGGCCATTCATGACTTTGCAAAGCCGCTAATTAGCTTGATGAAAGCTTCAGGTTGGGATCTAGACCGGGCCGCGGACTCAATTGAAGCGTCTGTGGTGTATGCTAAAAGGTCCCACAAAAAATATGCATTTGAAGCTTACATTGCCCGGAGGATGTTCCATGGAATGCCACTCCAATCCTACAATGTTGATAGCATATTGAGATCTGATGACCCAATTGATGATCTAATTAAAGACCCATGTTCAAACTTTGCGAAGTTCTGTGGAACCAAGTACCTGTGTCTCATTCATCCAACAATGGAAGCATCTTTCTTTGGGAATTTGGATCACAGGACATTTGTGTTGAGTGGAAAGCATCCTAGGACACTGTTCTACCAAGCGTACGTTAAAATGGCGAAGTGGGTCTGGGTTCTTCGAGGAATCGCTGCCTCATGTGAATCCAATGCTGAAATGTATGGAGTCAAGCGAGGAAGCGAATTCTCAGATATTTACATGGAAGGTGTGGAGGAGCTAACAGATAACATTGTAGTTTCAGATGAAGGAAGATCAAGATTCAAAGTTGAGTTTATGGTTATGCCCGGGTTTAGAATTGGAGAGACATTGGTCAGGTCTCGGGTTTATCTCTCAACAATGAGATCCTCAAATTGTAAATGCTAGAAAGGGGTTGCTCTGGCTAACTGGTAACTTCAGAAACCCCACTCATTTTAACTCTGGAATACATGATCTATTGCCTTATTAGTGAAAAACTAATTTGAAGCTCACCAGACGGATGATTGTGCTTTCTAGTTACTCTTGTTAGGTGGAAAGATATCGTTTCGTTCTCTGAATTGTAAATGGACATATAACTAGTTAATGATGCCATCTTATGTATTGCTGTTGCTTATCACTTGCTAAATGGTATATCTGCACTTGCATTTTGGGTAGGGCTTGGAAAGAGTAGCATAAATGCTTGATTTGGTTCCTGTTGCATTGCTGAAAAGCTTTACTTGAGAGTCCTTGCATAACTGCTACATATACAAAAAAAAGTTCGGTAATTGGACTGATCTTGTTTGTAGGATTGAAGGTCATATGGATAGCAACTGTAGTCTATGTTTTGGACTTATGACTGTAGTTGTGTTTGTGCCTCTCCAATTTTTAACCTAGAACTTGTATAACATAGTAGTCAAAAGTACAAAACTGATCTTTGAATTCTCTGGTCACTTGTATAGCAATACATGGTAGCTTCAATGACTGATCTTTTTGTTAATTTTGAGTTGTCCACCCTGCTGTTTTCAACATATTGCTCTTTGAGTGACAATGAAAGTGGAAACTATGAGTTGTAAACATTAGAGCATCCACAATGGGATAGCTAAAATTGTTTGTTAAAATGTGTGTTATATGACAAAAAGTGATAAAAGTGGCACTCAAAAATATGTGTTAAGGTATGTTAAGTGTTTGTTAATTTTAAAGAGTGAGTGGTGGTGCAATGGATGTGTTAAGGTGTTTATTAAGATGTGTGTTAAGTGTATATATATATAAATAATAAATAAAATAGTATAAATAATGTGTATTATATATATAAATAATATGTGTTAAGGTGCAATGGATGAAGACAGCAAAATTGGACAGGTTGTCCGGCGGGTCAACCGGCCGGTTTACCGGTCAAAGGCAAATTTTTTTTTTTTTTTTTTGTGAAGGGTCAGGACGTCCGAGGGGATGACCAGTCAGACAACCCCAAGGCACTTTCCCATGTCCCCCTCTCCCTTTCCCCTCTCTCTCTCGCTGGCTAAAACGCTAGCCACAATTAACAAAGAAGTTAACAACTGACACTAACAAAATCCACTAACACACCACTTAACACTTCCATTGTGAGGTCCAAACGTTACTGTAACTAGCTAAAATTTGGCCACTGACACTAACACAATCACTAACACGTCCATTGTGGATGTTCTAACCTTCTTTCTACAGTAAAAAAATATATTATTGCTATTTGATAAAAAAAAATGACTTCAACGTGAAAAATGTTGGATTTCACAACATGGTAGTCAACGCATAGGTGGGAAAAGTTTTGAGTCAAAACTATTTGTTTGGTGGATCTCTGACTCCTATGTTACTGGCACATGGCCTATTGAGAAACCATGTGTTAGGGTAAGGAATCCTATGTTCAGGGTATGATCTAGTACCTGGCAAATACTCCAGAATAGCTAGGTAGAACTAGATGTAAAGACATCTCAAGAGACAAAAAAGTTGCTGAAAAAACAGTTGTTACAACGGAAAAAACGAAAATGAGAAAAATAAAACAGAGCAATCACACAAGAACATGAACATATTAGTGATTTAGGTACAAACTTACATTCATGCGCGAAGAACATAAGGGAAAAATTACAAAGAGCAGATGTCTTTTTTGAAGCCTTCTGTAACGAGTTTACTTTAGTTTCATTATCTTAATCCCCAATAACTCATAATATATACTCAGACCTGAATACAGCAGCAACCGGTTCAGACCTAGTGGCTTATAGGAAACCTTGCCATTTGCCCATTAATCAGTTCGTGAATTTTGTTTTCTGCATATAATTCTGTTCTTAGGAGGCATAAGGCTTATTAGTTGCAAAAAATGCTAGCATTTTAATCTCATCTGCATGGTAGAAGCCTCAATGAACCTCAATGCGATCGAGGCTACTGACCTGCAATCTCTGAAAAAGAGGTACAGGTGTTACTTTAAGGTTAAAACAGAGTGATGTCACAAGTGAATCATGAAGTATATTTAGTGAATGGCTTGTTTTCACAATTCCTCTTGTGAAAACCGAAAGATTCCACACATCAGAGCATCAAAGCATGGTAAGCACAGACAACTAGCAAGTGCTTGATTCACATGAAATCTTTAGTTTGAAAGGGAACTTTAGTTTTGTTTGGTTTTGAGAATACAATTGTGCTGAGAACAATATTGTGGGCAATGCATTTGGTATCTTCTGCCTATGAGAAGTCTTTAGATTTTAAAACTGCTGATATTTATTTTAGTCAATTTGTACTCTATTTGAACAACCCTTTGAATTCTTGCTAGCAGCTAATAAACTTGAGATCAAAACAAAGTACTTGTTTGGTTTTCACCTAAATGCCAAATTATATGCTGCTCTATTGAAACCAGGATGATGCTGTTGAATGATTTGTTCTGTCTAGGAATTCGTGTTGATAATTTGGATGTCAGTATGAGTATGACTCAATGAGTTCCAACTAAAATTTAACAAAATATAAGTAAATATGATAAACAAAAAATTGTGTAGATTTACGGCCTTAAGAGTCATACAGAGCTCCTAAGAAGGATAAGTACTTTCAAAAACTCGAAACTTCTTTTCTTCTATATTTTCTTCTACTTGTGTGTATACATACAATGATCACTAGCCTCTTTATATAGAAGACATAGATACATCTAGACTTACAATAAATGTATTTATGCATCTTTCTTTTACACACACATTAAGATGTGTTAAAACCCAGGACTTTGATACATGAATTATACCAACCAATGTATCTAACTTAATTATAAGTTCTTAATTAATTTCTAACAGATGCAACTATATGCATACAATTGTTGGATGGAAAATGATTTACCGCCACAATTTTTATATAGAATTTTAGACTAGAATAATGTGACAATGACAATCTTAAAGATATAAGTTACATTGATGGACATTTTCTTTTAAAATAAAGACAGAAGGCCTTCACATCATCCTGAATCATAATTTTGTATAGATTTTATGCTTGTAGAGCACTACTCATCGGATGATTGCCTTGCTGATTAAGTGTGTTCTGCAAAAACATTTTGATTGATCTTTAAGGAAATGGGCTTTATTCCACTGGTTGTTTTATCACATTATACAGAGGTGTGTAACACGTAAAGATGAGGGAGACGAAGAAGAAGAAGAAAATGAATCAACCTCTGCAGACCAATTCTTATGTAGAGGTCACTGGCTAGGGTGTAGTGACGTTCTCCTCACTATTGGAGAACAAGTCTTTGCATAATTCCCCATAGAATCTACATACTAAATTGACAAAAACAGGACACTTGAGGTTTTTCCAGCAATAGAGAAGCTCTTCCACGTCCGCTAAATCCCTCACTTTCCCCTCGTCCACAATCATCTCCACCAAGTAATTCTCAAAGCTCCTACATGCGTCCTCTACGTCTTCCTGAACCAAAACCCCCTTCTTCTGATCAGCTCCGCTCATCCTCACATAAGCTGGGGTCAGAGGAGACAGGAAGGGTGCCTTGTGATACCCTGCATCAGAAAAACTCTTGAGCTCCTTGAGTCGGTCCATCTCTCTTGATCTTCTCAGCAAACCAAATAGTGATGGCAAACCTTTTGCTAGTTTTCTAGGAGTCGTCCTTGTGGTTCCAGATTGGGTTTTGCAAGAGCAAAGAGCTCTTATAAAGAGGGGTTTTTTGAATTTGAATTTGAAGATTAGAAGTATTTTTCTGCATGGGTTGAGAAGGTTCGTGCATTTGAAGGCAAGTGCTGCTTTCAATTTCATCTTTGAATGATTGGGGACAGAGTGTTGATTAAGGGAATGAATTGTGACCCTTTGATTTGGTGGGGAGGAGAGGTTGGATACTTTGATAAATTTGTTGAAAAAGATGGTTGGTGTAACTGAGAGAGAGAGAGAGATGGTAGATTGGTTGTTTAGACTTCTCTTTTGTAGGGAGGGTTGTCTGAGGAGTGAGTTTTGGGTGATAGTGTTCTTCACGTCTATAAAGGGAAAGTGGTACCCCACGAAACTTTAACTACTTAGCTGTTTTAAGGGAGGTTCTGATTTGGTAGTCTAACTACCATCTCTCTTTTCTTTTAGGAAAAACTTAATGTGATGTGACATTCATTTGTTTTTATCAACCCATAAAAAACATTTTGTGTTGTCTTTTTAGAGCTCCAATAAAGTGTTATGATAATCATTTTGTGTTATTTTTCTTTGGAATTTAGATAAATCAATTTCGGAAATGTAGAGATTATTATTGGAGTATATAGTAGAAAACGTGGATTGGTAAAATACAAAAATGTTTAGTTGAGTTTTTAAAATTTGTCTTTTTAATTTATTTTAAAAAATTAGAAATTAATTTGATAAAAATAAATATAAGAAAAGGTGTTTTAGAATTATTTCTACTTAAAAATAAATAAAAAAAATCATATAAAAATAATGAGTGATGCATTTATTTATTTTTATTTTCTTCACTACATTGAGTATTTACTAAGCAAATTGTATTTACAATTAACTAGTGGTAATATGTGCTATGCACGAAACTTTATAAATTAAAAAAAATTATTATAATTATCTTAAAATAATTTAATACTTTGCCTTGTAATATGTATGAAATTTATAAGTTAACTTTTATATTTATGATTTTTTAAATTATTAGTTTAAAAAAATATAAAATGTATATATAAATTTATTTGGTGTAATTTTGATAATTTTTATTTAAAAAAGTTAAACTTGATTAAATGAGATTAAATTAGTCATGACATACTTCTTCTTATTATGAAAATATACAATTTTATTATTAAATGTGAAGTGAAGTGATGTGATATTTAATAATAATTGATATAATGTTTCTATTATTAATCTGATAATTTAAATTACATTTCTTTTGATTTTAATTTCATGACAAAAAATATAATATGAATATAATACATACACGGATTCTTAATTTTTAAGACTAAGAACGTTTCAGAATATTTTCAACCTTTCATCGTTTTCTTTTAATTATTTTTTATCTAATTTGATTTTAAATTTAAATAAAAAATTTTGATTTGATATGAATTATTTTAACTTTTTCATTAAATTTTTATCAATTTTTAAAAGAACTTTCATTCTTATCCCAATTTTTTTCCCATCAATTTTGATGGAAAAACAATAAATTCTAATGCTTCATCTTTTTAAATTTTTATCAAATTATAATTTGATAAAAAAAAATATATCAAGAGTTGAAAATTCTCTTAATGTGAATTATAGTAAAATAACATTTTGAAAAAGTGAAAGTTTGAGTATATAGTTGGTTGAAATGTATAATTTGATTAATTTTTTTTTCAAATTTGTATAAAAATTGGCACTTATAATATATCATTATAAGTCGGATTATAGAAAGTTCTTTGAGGAGTCAAACATTTTTCATTTATAAATATCACAATGGGATAGAAAGAGAATAAAAATAAAAAACATAATAATATTTAAAAGTTTTTAATTTACCTAAATATGCAAAAATCTAATATTATAGTAAAATCTTGAATTCTCAATAAATTTTCACATTTTCTATAAATTAAAATGACAATAAAAAATAAAATGAATTGATACCCATTTTTGTTTACTTCAATTTTATGGTATTTATTGAAGAAAACAAAACCCAATCAAAATCTTTAGCACAGCATGGGGACAGATATTTCGATTGTAACCATTATCATCGATAATTCTTCTCCACCAAGCAAACTTGTAAATAAACACATAAATCTCACTAAAACCAAAATCAAAACCAAACTAACAGCAGAGAAAGAGAATCATACAGGGAATAAAATAAAATTATAAATAAATAAATTTATTGAGTAGTTGGATGTTACCTCCAACAACTTATACCAATCCGTCAGCTCCTTCGCCAATGCCTGCCAAATTTAGAAGTTGGGATGACAAATCAGATTATTTTTAAATAAAACTTGAAAATTGATTAATTTGTCTCATTAAGTGATTTAAAATTTTAATAGATATATATCAGAAAAATTGATAATTATATTACTAAATCATAATTCAAATTTAGATATTGTCATATTTTTTTGAGATCCATATCTAAATTCTTATCTTCTTCATTTTTATGTAGTTTCTATTTGTTTTTGTTTTTTTCAATTTATTTAAGATGGAACTGTGGGTTTCTATTTTTTAAAACATTTAATTTATTTGTGGTTTCTATTTATTTTTAATTATTATTATTTAGGTAAGTTATGTTGTGAGTTAGATATGTGATAAACATGTGAGTTTTATTGATTTAAAGTATAATGGTGGGAGATATTTTCAAATTAGATTTATTTAGTCAGACTTTAAAGATTTTTAAAATTTAAATTGGATATTAAGATACAAAAGAAAGATTTTAACTAAATAAATAAAAATCAATTTTATTAATTTTGTTTGTTTGTACATCAGATTTTTAATTTTTAGTTTTTTTTATTTATGTTATAATATATAAGATATAGATAAATACCCACAACTCTCAGGAAAAATATTATTTGATTTTTTTGAGAGAGAGAATGAAGGTAAGTTTTCATATATATATATATTGGAAATCAGTGAGAGAAATTAAGATAAAGAGATTATGAAATATTTTTGTTATCTTTTCATTTGAAATCCATAAATTAAGGAATCATTATTATTTCTAAAACAATTAAATAAATAAATCAACTAATAATTTTTTTAATCTATTTTATAAATTGAAAAATCAATAATTTTAGAAATTTGATTAATTTGAACCATTAAGTAATTGATACTCTGTCCATAAATCCAAATTCAAATTTTGTTAGCCAAAGGTCCAGGCACAGAAACACTTTCTCCATAACGAGAAGCTTAATAAATTGACAAAAATACCCATATACATATCTATGGCTCTCTCTCAACTCTCATATCCCAAAATCCTCTCTCTCCTCTAAGAATGGCAATGGGTTGGGGCGGGGTCGAGGATCACACTCCTCATCCTCGATCCTCGATGGTAGAAATTCCCTCGTCCCCCGGCCCGGCCCCGATCCTCAACGGGGACCTATCACCACCCTCGCTCCCGTCCCTTAATAGGGATCAGGTTTCCCCAACCTTGAAAATTTCCTCGCCAAAAAAAAAATCATCTCCAGAAAATACAAGAATTCATCAACAACATCAACATCACTACCAACAACAACAACATCGTTACCAAATCATATTTGTTCATCATCATCATCATCAACAACAACAATAACACACCCATACACCAGAATTCACATATATATTCAACAGATCTAACAAATTTGAGCTCAAATGTAAAAAATAAAATATAAAAAATCTAACACTTTAAATAGATCATCATTTTCTTTATCTTCATCAACAATAGATTTGAGCTAAATCTAATATCTATTTTGAAAACGTAAAGAGAGAGAGAGAGGTGCAGATGGATGGGCATATTTGAGGGAAGAGGGTGGTGTGAAACCTTAGCCTTAGGTAGAAACGGGGACGGATTTGAAGGAGGACTCCTCAACTCGAATTTTGGCACCGGTGACCAAAACTTCCAGATCTGAAAAACAAAAACAAAAAACAAAGAGAGAGAGAGAGAGAGAGAGAGAGAGAGAGAGAGTAACTAGAGAGAATGAGATACCGTGAGAGAAAGAAAGAGGAGATACTATGAGAGGGAGAGGAGGAGCCGTTTCCAGTGAGAGAAAGAAGAGGAGCTGTCGCTGTGACGCCGTGAAAAAGAAGTGACGCCGGTAAGAAAGAGAGGAGGAGCTGCCGCTGACGTCGTGAGCACCTGTAGCAAAGAGACAGAGAGAGAAGAGAAATGAGTATGAGTGGGAGAGAGGCTAAAAATGTGAATCAGAATAACCCTAAACATATATATATATGTGGGGATTATTCGGGGCAAGATCGGAGCTAGGGCTGGGAAAACCTATCCTCGTCCTCGGCCCCGGCCCGAAAACCGTCCTGGATTCAATTTTCAATACCATCCACAGCTTTATGGGGATAATTTTCAGGGAAAAACTCGTTTTAATCGGGATCGGGGGGCCGGGTCCTTGTCGAATCAATTTCAAATTGCCATCCATGCTCTCCTCCTCCCGCCACACACACACACACACACTCTCTCTCTTCTCATTTTTTTATCTCATCAGCACTCTCTCCCCTATCGAACCAACATAACAATCCTCCTCATTGGCTCCTCTTCCTTCTTCGCTAGTGCCTTCTCTGAATCCAAGAAGATTTGACCACCGTAGGCCTTAAAAATCTCAGACAAGTAATGGCAATTCATAGTGGCTTTATAATGGTTCACAGATGCCATGGCTAGGGTAAAATCGTTCTTGAGGTTTTTCGAGATCGGTGCAGACCTGAACCCACTGGGCAGGGTCGTTAGAGACTAGATCAGTGTAGATCTCTATTTGCCGATGGAGTGAGCTGAATTAGTGCACATTTTTCTCTTTCTCTCTCCATCTTCTCTCCCTCTATGTGTGAGGGGGTGTTGAATGAGACCGAATGAAAAAATTGGGAAAATGAATGGTAGAGAATCATTGTGTGAACCTCACCAGCACCACCGGCAGCGTTCGCAATAGATCTAACACAGAAATCTTAGGTTTATTCCATCTCTATGTGCGTATGTATGTATATGTGTGCTTGTGTGTATGGTGTATGTGTTAAGTGAGATCAAATGAAGAAATTGCGAAGAGGAATGGTAATAGATCCAACGCAGATCTGTTGAATTTTTAACAGATAGTATGAATTCTGTTGGATTTGAACACAGACCTGTTGGATTTTTAAAAAATAGGAATTCAGTTGGATTTGAACACATC